TGAAAACTCAAGTTTGAAATGTAAATGACAAATTTGATCTGACCCTATTAAATTTTAAGCCAACCGATCTCATTTATATCTGTATATGTATTGACTCTTAAGTCAAATAATTCATGTAGTGAATCCAAATGTGGAGGGATAATCCTTGATAGAGCAGAAGGAATTCATGTAGGCTTTATTGTTTAGGGTGAACGCTTTATTGTTGTTCTTGTAAAGAGTGCTACCTTCAAATTTGACCTTTAATTATTGTTAATAATGATCCTTGACTGTGATATTTATTATCTATTTGGGATGCCATGATTTGTGCATTACTCTCAAAGAATATGCTTTTAACAGGAATGACGAGGAAATTTTGATTGTTCATGGATTTATAGGACATTTCATCTTATACGGACACTTGGAACTATTAATCCAATGGTTGCATCTTTGCTTAAGCAAAAATTAAGAGAATTGAACACCATCATCTTATTAAAACCGCACTTCAGTGACTAACTGACAATTCAATGTTTGACAAAGTTTCATCCAAAAAGATAGGTAGGGTGCTCAAAGTGAGCAATTATTATTAAATAGCCACTTTGATAGGTTTAATGTTCACATTTAAATAGCTATATTTCCTGGTTGTTAAAAACATGAATGGTTTTTTTTTTTGCACTATTCTTCCTTAAATAAGAAAAAATGTGTATGTTTGTGGCCATGGTAATGCCTTTGAGGCTCTAACCATGTGATTTTGTTTTCTATAGTTGTATAGAAAAAAATCTACCATCTTCCATTTCCTTTTAGATTCTAGATTCCTATGGCTAGTCTTGGAATCGGCTTTTAGAGTTTCATTGTCTCTAGAACTATTTTAAGTCATAAGATGACTTCCCACAACAATTTCAAGTAAATACTGCTTTCCTGTCTAATTATGTCTATAAGAGTTGTTAAAATCTGAAGTAAGCTTAGAATTTAATTTCATATTAATGGGGTTTCATTGATTAATGGATCCCATGTTTTGGATTTTTTTCAGTGTCGTTGCTTATCTTAATTCTTTTATTTTCCTTCTTTCTTGGATCACAATTTTTTGATTTTCCTACATGAGTTCACTAATCCTAGTTAATATATACATAGTTTTTTTAATCTATTTGGAGTATTAAGCACAAAAAAAATGGAAGACAAACTTATCCTGGTGTTACTAAGTAATGTGTCATTATAGTTCCAAGAATATTACGACATACTTTCCTCTTGGTGAAATTCTAAGTTGTTTATGTTTATACAGAGATTGAAGGAAGAGAAACACGTTATGCAATCACTGCTGAGGTATGTATTCAGTCCTGTTCACCCTGTTGTCACCATTTTTACCTTTTCTTGTTCACATTTATATGTGTGCACCAATGTTAGGTTTCATGACATGAATGGATGTATTGATGATTATTTTCCAAAACTTTATGAACTAGTGCAGTGAAGGATCTAGGATTTTTGGAAAGTGGTGTCACTATATAACTAATAACTAAAAAAAAATTACAACTGCATTTGACGAGTTTTCATATTTTGAAAAAAAGTACATAATCGCATCATTTAGTAACATTAAAAAACACATCTTTTTCAATACAAATCATTAATAGGGGGTTCTCAAGTTATGAACTTAAATTGCAAGGTAAGTTTTTTAGTGGATAAATGTATTAAAAAAAACCGCCTTGAGTTTGAGCATTTCTTGGTTAACACCCCTTAACTTTCAAACCATCACAAATGCCCTCCTTACCTTTTGGGGTTCTCAGAAATCTCCCCGTCAACTTCAAACTCAAAAAAAAAAAAAAAAAAAAAAAAAAAAAAAAAAAAAAAAAAAAAAAAAAAAAAAAAAAAAAAAAAAAAAAAAAAAAAACCTAACTCTGTTAACCACAATTCTAACGTGGGCGGTTAAAATTATGCAAAAAAGATATTTTTGTTAATGAAAATTGTGGTTTACACTTTAAGAAAAGTTTTTTTTTTTGAAAACATTGAAGTTGAAGTGGGGTTTTTGGAGGACCATAAAACTTACGGAGAGTTCTATGACATTTTAAAACTTAAGGGAGCCCCCAAAACTTAGGAGTGGTTTTGTGAAATTTTCTATATTTTTTTTGTTGGGTGGGAAGTTGGAAACTCTGATAGGCTCCTGTGGGCCATGGGTTTATAAGTGAGGATCATGTAGTTTGTTATTACTTATTACGGTGTCTCATAGACTGGTGGCTTCTAGGTGGGATTTGGTTCTTGAGCCTCCTTGATCAAATTGGGGTCACGTGACCCGTGGATCCGCTCCTGAACTAGTGCTTAGTTGATAAAGTCATGAAAAAAAAAGCTAGGGACTAAGATCAACTCCATTATGCCTGCATAAAATAGTGGGATATTCTTGCTCTATTTTTTTCCAATACAACAAATTACCTTCATGATAGATGAAATATTGACCGGATATTGAAAATATTAACATGCAAGGTGTAGCAATCCATTCTTCTTCACAAATGTTCCTGTAGTTCCTTTTGATTTATGTTGTCCCTATCATTTAGTGAGACACATATCAATTGGTTGATCGGCCTTGTCTAAATCCAATTCCTGCACTACTGTATCTTGAGGCATTGATAGAGTTCAAGAGTATTTGAGGGGAGACCATGAAATTGTTACATGATGAATGTAATCCTAACAAACCAGTTTTTTGTACAATTTCTCATCACAAACTATTTTTCGATGGTTCAAAATAATCTCTTAAAGAAGAGATGATATAAGTCATTCACTAATTCCAAACTAGTCTTTTTCTCTTCAAACTCTCTATAATATACAACACGTGGATAGAGCCAAAAGACGTGAACAGAGGTGGACAGTTAACTGAGGTTAAAAAAAAGTAAGTTATATTCTTGACCTAAGTGCGGTTCAGAATATATTGACAGATGTCCAGCATTTTCGTGAGTGACTATTGGTATGCATGGTAGCTGTGCAAGAAAACTGACCTATATTTTTACAGTCAGCAAGGTGGATTGAACATGGCCAGAGTAGGAGCAAAAAATAATGAGAAAGAACTTTGCAGCAAGAATTTTGGTCGAATGACGGATTTCTTAATAGAGTTTCTACTTAAATTGTGGAATTCTCGGAGAAACAAAACATCTTGTATTAGTTTCATGTGTTTTGCTATGACATGAGATTTTGGTGAAATGCTATCACTAGAGCTGGTATTAGTTTGGTAGATTTTTGTACTTGTACCTGCATCCTAAGAAGAATCAGATAAAAAAAAGCAATCCAAATTCTACTCAGAAGGCTTCGCGTTTGGGTGGTTTTAGGTTGGGGTGGCTTCTTAGTACTAATGAGTTTTTGGGTTCAGACATGAAAGAGTAAATGATACCATTATGCAGATTAAACCTATCCTAGCTCATGGTGTACGTGATTACATATGTGGTTTTGGTTCTCCATTGAATTATTATTGGGTATTATAAAAAGTGACTATACATCTAATCTGACATGGAAGTTAACGATGAGCATTGAAAGAATTCAGATTTTTTTTATGTAAATCATAAACATTTGGTTTAACTATATAAGTGAATTTAGAAATGAGTGTTACGAACAAAATTTAGGTTTCTAGAAGTTGTTAAAAACAACTTTTTTAAATATAAAATAAAGATTTAGATTGGGTTTATCATGATGATAGAAGATTGAGATTTAAGGGGTTGCTTGGTTTGCTACAAAAACAACATTTGTTGCAGGAGATCTAACTGTCATTTCATTATTTGGTTTTCTTTGCAATTTTATGGTGGAAAACGTATTAACAATGGATTTTCAATGTTCGGTTTGGAAAATTTTGATGCAAAAGCTACATGGTTTTCCTATTTGGAGTAAGTAAGAATATTTCTAGTCAACTGTAATTATCTTCTGTGTTTTAAATTTCCTTTATTTTCACGCATACAATGTGTAATCATGTAATTCTTCTTGGTTCATGTGGGATACAGATTAAAAACAGTCTCGGTCGGTTCCTGATTGTTGTCCTTTTTCTTAAACCCATACCTTACCTATCCTATGTTCTGGTCAAGATCTGGTCTACCACCACTTTCAATGCATATCCGACCTGAAAATTTTGTGGAACAGAATTTTAGTTCATAGTCGATTGGTGAATAGTTGTGCCTTGTCATGATTAGCTCATGTCCGGATAATTGTCTAAAATTCAAAATTTACTTCTACTCATATTCCAAGTACAAAGTAAATAAAAAGTTGGTGCCGTAATTCCAGAAAAATTAAAGGCATCTTTTCCTTGGACTTGGATCAAATTTGTTGTCCTTCACTGTCAAATCTTGGGATGACACCAAAGAGAAATCCATTACTTGTTTATAATGAGAATGATACCGTCTATTCGGCTGTAGAAAATTTTGGTTCCTTTTCAGGATATAAGGAGAGAGCTGAAGCTTGAGCCCTTTGTGGTTCTTGAAACGGTTGAAGTTGATGAAGATGTGCAAAGAGCAGTCGTAAGTATTGCCACAATATATTTGTTCTGAACTTTACAGAGAAATCATGGAAAATATGCTCATTTTGCCTATTATTGATGACAGGTGAATGAAGCCTGTCCTCAGTGCCAGCATCCTGAGCTTGAGTACTACACTAAGCAGGTACTTTTAGCAATAATCCTTCTTTTACTGATAACTCAAAATGCAATTAGTTGCTCTTATGTGTTTATTTTGTAGCTACGATCAGCTGATGAAGGACAAACGGTCTTCTATGAGTGCCCAAAATGTGGGCACAAATATTCTGTCAATACCTAGGCAACCTATTTTGCGTTATCTGCTTGAGAATGTATGGACTTTGCACATTTTTGTTGCAACCTCTTTTATTGGGGGAATGTATCAGTAATCTGTAAAAATTATCTGAGGTTTAAGTTGGGAGATTTTTTGCACTGTATGTGACTGATTTGCTCAGGTGGAAGTGTTCCGTCTTCCCTCCGTAGGAGGGGAGTATGTCAATATCGAAGTCACGTGATGAATAAAAGCGGGAGAGATAATGGGAAGATGATGAAGTACGAGGAAAAACATGGAGGTGGTGCTTGCGGCGATACTTCCTCAGATGTTCTGAGCTTAAGGGTCTATTTGGATTGGGGTGAGCAAAGGAGAAGGAAAGGTAGGGAATACATTCACCTTACTTTGATAGCTTAAAGAGTTTCCCCGGTATGCATACAATACATAAATCTAGTCTTTAGAGATTACGTTTCTCAGATATTTTGGAAGGATCGACACTCATCTAATCTTGATCTTCGGATAATAGTCGGATGTCAATCTCATCGATATAGCAAGAAGCACTTGTATATCGCCCTACGACTAATGCATAAATCATAGAATTGATTAAGAGGAAGGAGATGATGGTAGTCTCTCTCTCTCTCTCTCTCTCTCTCTCTCTCTCTCTCTCTCTCTCTCTCTTTAATCTCTACATAAGTGCATATACTCATACTCACACAAATGAGCAAGTGTTATCCCTTACCAACTCTTGAGCCGTTGACTCCCTAAGTCAAAATCTCACTGATATTCTCTCTTATTAATATTATGTCCATACATCATTAGTGTGGTGTGGATCGTTGAAAACCTACAAGCGGGTAGCCTTGCAACCAAATATGTTATGACGGACCCAAGGATCTCCCTAAAGAAATCAAAAAATACACACACGAAAGTGTAAGTATACTGGATCTCGTACCCCAGATCTAATCAATCATGCTTGCTCAAGTACTTTCAATCCTTCAAAGAAGTGTACATGAACACCTTGGTCTGCCGTTGATTCATCACATCCTTAAAACTTTCAATCTTCCTCTTGCCGTGAATAATTGAGCATGTTAATTACTCGCTTTTCTAACACTGTCTCATATGTGCGGTATTATCTCTTCACAGCAGGATACAATAGCCAAATTAGTGGACACTCATAGTAGCATTGCCAGACAGCCTAGTGCCTCAAAGGGTATAATGGCTGCCCTCCATCACTGGTAGTCGTCTATAAGGGCTCAAACAATGAGGCATGCAAGGATCCATCTCTCGACCTCCTTATATTTGGTCCAAGCACATGTCGTATGGCAACGTGCTATGGTACTTCTTCTCTTTCTCTGAGAGCATATATCAACAAATGAATACCATACAGACTCAAATTCCAGTATCCCGTAATGAACTTGTCCTGCTATATCACCCCACTATATGCTTAGGATCTCCCGAAAAGCTCGCCCCTCATGTGCCAAGTCAAACCCCTAGTATGGCTGTTAGAAAACAAGTAAAGTGGACGTAGGGTTTTCGATCGTTTTAACATATACTTTACATCAACCTCATCTTGAGCCAGTCAGGGCGACCAATAGAGTGCTCCTACTATTGTCCTACCCAATAACACGATAATGTAGTCATCACTCTAAACCAAATGACATCTGACATTCAGTCTCAGCTTTGGCAACTGCCACAGCTCCGAAGGGGATCTCTTGTGTGATAAAGAGCTTTTACCTGCTGATGTAACTTTTTGACAGTGCACCTAGTGTCCTTTGTGTACCATGTGCACATCATATACTTATATACTCCATGTCTTGATAATCAAGCAATAATAAGTATAAACAATCCCAATTATGCATATAGATTAGAAAAGGACATTCAAGTAAAATATAATGTCTTATAAACCCATCACCCGTAACAACCCAAGTGTCTGAGGTCCCAAGTAAAAAATCATAATTAAAGATGTAGCTCATAAGGCTCAAATGTGCTGCACTAGCTGCTTCTCTTAATAGGTTCCCTTTATCAGTAGATCCCTGATCAACTGACTCATAAGAATACACTTAGCACAACCTCCTCCTTCTCTTAGTTCTTAATGGAATGATACATGTTCTGAATTTTATTTTATTTTCGAAACTAATTTGAGCATATTGTATAACCAACAATCAACATGTTATCAATATAGAGAAACATATAATTCTCTACATGTTACGCTACGGCAAAATTCTGTAAGAATCTGCACAATAAGATTGCCTCCAATGTTACTGTATACATCATCACATATCCGCTCCAAGTGGAAAATGGCTATACCCAAGGGCTTCTTACTACTACATGAAACAACCTTGTCATTCAGTACGAGAGCATAACTAGACATTGACGCTCGCTCATCCAGATTATTGGCCCAGTCGACATTGAATATCTCTATTGGTTAGAGTCTGTGCTATCATAGCATAATACATAAAGTGCGGTCTAAATCAAATATTTGAGGATCCTCTTAACTCATCCCAGTGAGTCGTACCGAGATTGGACTGATGCCTACTCATCAGTGCCACTGCAAAGGATGTGTCAATTGTTGTATGCATACAAGACTATCCACTACACTCATTGTAATGGGTTCTTAGTATTAGCTTTTTTCTTGCTTTCTTATTGGGACATTGCTCTATGACTCTTAACAATTAGAGTCCCAATGGTCTTCATGTTGTAGCCAGTTAGCACTTTGTCGTCAACATATGATGACATATTCAAACTTCTATCATCTTATTAGTGTTGGTGGACCTAACAGTCCTGATCGATCATCTGAAAACCATGTCTCAACATGATCTAATAGGATCGAAAGCATTGCACGCTGGAAAATTATTTCAAGCCATTAGTAAGATCCTTCAATTTGTGCACATTGTGCTCAAGTCCCTCGGCTAAGAAACATGTAGGTTGATCAGCATGGATCACTTTTTCTCATTCTCCACACATAAAAGCTGTCTCGATGACTAATTCAATGTCCATTTATGCGATAAGGGTCATATCGTGCAAATAGAGCCTATTCTCAGCACCGGAAAAACGTCTCTTTCTGTAGACCATCTTACTATTTAGGTGTACTCTTTCGCCATCAAGCATGCCCTGCATTGCTTGAACGTCCCGTCCTGCTTATCCTTGAAAATTCATTTGTTTTTAGTGGTCTTTCATTTAGTTGGAAGATTCACTAAGTCAAATACTTAATTCTTCCTCATAAACTCAAACTCCCCATCCATTGCTACTTTCCACTCTTTCATTGCAAACCCAAAAATAGTGTCCTCGCATGACTTCGGCTCTACAACAACATGCGGTGCTATCATGAATATTTCCCTTTAGATCTCAAATAGTATTTGGGTACTAGTCCATGGAGCAATCTCTGAGGCGGTTGAGGTTCCATTGATGGCTCCAAGTCATCTAAAAGTATCTCAGTCTCACTGTTCCCAGCTGGGAGAGGAACTACTTTCCTTTTCATTGCTGGATCCATAACAATCTCCTTGATCTCTTATGATCCTAATTTTGACCTATTTCTTCTTTATGCTAGAAGTCCTCTTCAAAGAACTCTATATACCACAACTCTTTTGGTTACAGTCTCATCATAGTGCTCACATGTAAACACAACGAACGAAGCGTCTAAAATAGAAGATGAAAGTACACTTAAACATTCTAGGATCTAAACTTCTCATCCAATGAAAAAGTAGTGTATGAAAGATGGATGTAGTGATCCAACATAGGCCCTCGGCCGTCTATGACTCGGCTGTACCGATCTCAAAGGTATACTATTTAGAATATAGGTCACTATCAATAGCACATCTCCCCGAGACTTAGTGGGTAGCTATTCTAAACCATATCTAGCAAAGTTATATTCCTAATTCATGTAACACCATTTATAGTAGAATATAGGATATCGTCAATTGTATGACTTTACCTTTCTTTTGATATAGTTCCCTAAACTTTCAAGATAGATACTCTCTCACGCTTAGTATGTAAAATCTTAATGCTTTTGCTTAACTAATTATCCACCTTACTAATTTAGTGCTTTAAACTAATTCAAGCACCTCACTAGCGGAGAAATCAGATACATATGATCGTAAATAGAGGAATAGCCTATAAATGAAGAATTAACGTGCTCCACTTCGTACCTTCATAAATACTAGGTTGCAATAACAGAGTGAACAAATTACAATTGAGGTGCTTATAGCATTGCTAAATATTCTAGTGATTTTACCGACAAGACCATACTCATAGATTGACAATACCTAGTCCATATACCAAGGACGCCGCCCCTGATGAGCCTTCACGTGTCGTCTAATGTGAATTAGTTTGTTATACTATAAATCAAATCCAATCTGATTTCACGGCACAATATAAAGTAGAATATAGCCCAGTTATCTAGTAATTAGTCACACTTTAAAATCAACTAAGCGATTAGTTGGATTTTTATAAACAGAGAAATCTTGAAATAAATCTAAATAACTTACCCACAAACGAGAAACCAACTAGAATCCCACAAGCCTAACTTCGAGAGACAATTCCTCACACTTAGTGAGAGCATATAGAATATCCTAAAAGATCTATTTATTCCCTGAACTCATAGGAGACCTCTATGCATCAACGCCTAGCACCACTACATATTCTCCAGCTAGACCTTTCTACACGCATTCAGAACTCTACAAATACTGTCTATGCCCTGCAGATGAGGTTCGTGAGTCCAAAGTTTTCTCGGTTGTGCGCCCTCATGCGTAAAATGATTAGCTTGTTTGTTATCGAATCAATTGATCTTTCCCTTAACTTCTCTCTCATATTTTCCCTTAGGGTCTATTTGGTAGATAGGAAGATCAGTAGTAACAAGTAAATCAAATCTATTACTTCTAAAATTATGAAGTAGGAGGAGTGGAAGTGACCTTGTTTTTTGTTTGTTTCATACTTTTTTGGAAGTAGAAGAAATAGTGTTTCCTTTACTTCATTCACTTTTTTTTTATTTGGTAACAATTATAAATATTGTTAGAAAGTGAGAAAGAGAATATTTTGAGATCTTTTTAGAAATAGAGAATATCCATACAACGACAAAAATGATTTCATTCCTAGATTGACTCAATTTCAGCTACTTTCGAGGTACTTCTGAGCCTTGAAGGGAGTAAAAAGATTTAATAAGTAGAGATGTCA